TATATATATATATATATATATATATATATATATATATATATATATATATATATATGCATGCCAAAACTGTGCACAAGTTGTGTGATATATCAAGTTTTTCACAGAAATATAACAGCATACGGGTTTGGAATGACATGAGAGTAAATAACGACAGATTTCGATGTAAACTATGCCTTTAAACGTGATCTCATTCTGAAAACACAGCGTCTGATTAGCATGCTAAGCCGTCCTCCACCACTGTGTCAATTTACTCCTCCTTTATCAGCTGAAGTTCATCTCAATGTGATAGCGCTGCGTAAATGTTAGTCTTTGCATCTGCATTCTTGTCTGAAGAAAGTAGCTGGGAAACGTCTCTAATGGACTCGGCGCTTGAGTATGCAGAAGACGTCACGGTCAAGATTATAATCTCACAATTAGAGTAGCAAGGTTTTATTGATCGCGTCCCGGAGCTTTGGTTGCCAAGTAGGCCTGTGATTAGAGAAAGCGGGCATGTGAGAGGAACGACAGAGAAAACTCTTCCAGAGGAGATCTGAGACGTCAGAAGAGAGAGATTCTGCTGCTGAAGGGTGACGAGGGCTTCGTCAAGATGATCCAGATCCAGAACTGAGAACGTTTGCATGCACTGATCCAAAACTCAACTGATTCATTTTCAGATTAAAACTAACTAGAGAACTGTAGAGGTTTACTAAAGGACTAACTATCTTTGAGTCGTTCGCCTGTTTCAGTAGCATTGATATACTTTTGTAGTTTTTGTTAATATTTTTAATTAGATTTCATTATTATATGTTGTGTTTTCATTTTAAGTGTAGTTAAAGTTTTAGCATTTTTTTAATAAATTTGTATATATATATATATATATATATATATAGTGTTTTGCTTTAGCTCTTTTAGTTTGAGTTATTTTAATACTTCAGTTTAAACTAAATGAAAATGATTTTAATTGTAGTTTTAGTTAACAATAAAAATCCTGCTCCAGGTTCTCAATAATTATTACATATAATCAGACATAATACATTTTAAGACATATTTTACATATTTTTGTCCTAAAAATCAGACAAAACATAATATGCTATAGCAGATATTTGATCTTTTATTTATTTTATTATTATTTTACAATATTATTATTATGTTAATATGTTGTTAAGTATTTTTAAATCCATTTATTTTCCATTTATCCATTAAATCTATGAGGAAGGACATTGCACTGTGCAAAGTTATAATCTATATAACCTCCGTCATGATGAACCTGTTCACTTTCACATGAAATATGTGCAAGGATACCAGAAAGGGACATAAAGTGCCAGTCCACTGTTTACATGCATAGTTCATCTGTGCAGAACAAAGTCGTATTGCTAAAGGAATGATTTAGACAACTTCAGTGCACAAATAACACACATTTTAATAATTGAGTAATGTAATAATTAATATAAGATCTTATTAAAAACTAGATTCACATTTCTGTTTTTAAAATTCTGGGTCGTCTTTTCCCATTGACTTACATTGTGAGTGCATCACTGTACTGTACTGTAGTTATTTCCAGTAGAAATCATTATTTCACATGTGCTGCTGTCAATACAGTATACTGGAATATGTAATATAGAATATAGTATTTTCAGTGAAATGATCGTACTAAATTTTAGTTCGATAATGTGTTTTATTTAATATTTTGTATTTTTAGGGTATTTTATGGTGCTAAATTATATTTATGTAAAAGTTTAGTTTCGTTTACAAGAAGACACTTGGCAGATTATTAACGAAGAGAAAAAAAGTTAAGAAAGTGAAACTAAAAAAAAAGTTATAGAAGTTTATCATCATGAAAAATTTAAATGTTTCTAAAAATGTAAATGAAATTTCCAAATCCATAAATCTAAACATGTTGTGTTCCAAATTTGAGGTTGATATCGCAAAAAAAAGAGCTTTAGGTAAGATTTAGTTTGGGTGCAGTACCAAACGTGTCCATGCTTCCCATTCTTTCCCAATGCAGACATTTTTGACCACAAGGAGTACAAGTTTGACTATTGTTTACTTAGCAAGTGCCAAGTGTGTCTCACCAGAGGGAGAAGCATTATTATTACGATGTGAAAGTTAGAATATATTTATGAATATATAGTGAGGTGTGTTTTCTGCGACTGGGGATCTGGTGTCATTGGCTCGTTTTCACTGATTAAAGCGTCTCTGTGCCGACTGTAAACATGTCGCCGTATGTTGTGTGTGTGTGTGTGTGTGTGCGCTGCTCTCCCTGCTGGTCCAAATTACGGCAGAGTACATTACTATGATTTACAACTTCCTCCTGCTGTTTAGATTGAAAAGAAAGAGCCGGCCCGTCGCCCTGCCCCCTCGCCCCACTACCACCACACATCTTTTGTCAAATGAAAACAAAGCGCGAGCCTGCCAAAATATTTCTATAGTCGATTGCTGAGCAAGCAGAGAGCCAGTCAGAAAACAAAAGCTGAGAGAGATCGCTGGACGGCCAGATTTGATGCCACAGCAAAACTCTCATTCTCTCACAAACCTGCCTGAATGTCTCTGATCAACGGGTGAATCTCATTAAACCCAAAACAACATGTGCAGCTCAGCTTTCACCGTGCAATTTAGATTTTGCATAAAGACAATGAAGCCCGGTTTAGGACCATTAGGATTTTTTTGCATTGCTTGCCATTGTTTTCATGACAATTAGGGACGTTTACCCTCAAACTCTCATTAGTGTTATGCAATATTAGTTTTATATTTGAAAGGAAAATGCATTTTTGCAAGCATGCAATTTATGCGGATTTAAATAAAAATAAAACAAATCTAATGAGATTCATTGCAGAGCATCATGGGCATCATTTACTCAAACATAATCTGGATGCATTACGTTAATGATATTTTGGGGGAAAATATGTTCAGTTATCATGGAAATAATATTACGATGCAAAAAGTCTAAACATAGGTTTCATTTTCTTTATTCGAAATGTGAGTTCTTGTTTCTTTCTTTTGATTATTGAGGCTGAATAATGAGCTGGTCGTGTGTTTTCATGAGATTCTCCCCATCAGTCTTTGGCTGTTTGGAATATTTCGCTGACACTGAACTGTTAACAGATGCAGCCGAGTGTTTATTCAAGTCGCTTGTGTTGCCAATGGTGTATAGTCTTCTATATGACTTTAAGAATCCTTGATAACATGTGTATATACAGTAGAAGTCTATCACCTCCTGCAGCATTGCACAGATAAACATTTCCTCAGCTGCTCATCTCTTGTGTGCTTTTCTGCCACTAGGTTTTTGTATATTCTTTTTGTCGTATCATTATATCATGTCTTGTAAGACAGAACAAACTCAAGCTACTCAGTCTCACGAGGAAACATCACCTTAGTGTCATTTTCTCTGTGCAAACTGAAAACATGCCTTGCAACCTCAAGGATTTCATGAAACCTCATAGATCTAAGTGGCTTTTCACAAGATTTTTCATTGCATTTTTCCTGTTAGATGTCATTGACATCAATGTCAAGTTCAGCACGGAATGCTATTAAACAAATTTAAATGAATTGTGAGTTTGAAAAGCGTTTTAAGTTATCTAAAGATTTTAGATCAGCATACAGTATGTATATTATTTACACTGAACCATTCAAAAGTTTGGCAGCCTTCAATCATGTGATGACGTTACTGAGAACTGAGGAACATTTTGTTTGTGTAAAAAGACATTGCTGAGGTGATGTTTGTATGTGAGACTGCTGACTTGACCTGAAATGTGGTTAAGATGACAGTTGAGCACTCAACAGTTGAGCTTTGATGAGCATATTAGGACATAAAATTAAAAAAAGAAAGAAAGTAGTGTTGCTTTGTGTGTCGTGAAGCTGTCTGTCTGCATGCATGAGCAAAACGGACAAGAGAAGGAGACTATGATGAGTTTTCATGTATATATTATTGTGTATTATTGTAGGTCTGTGTCACTTCACACGGTATATTGTTGAATATGCTCATGCTGAACTCATTAATATTTTGTCCATGCATAACATGCAAATCTCAGTACTGCACGAACAGGCCTGAATTTAGTAAAAACTAAGTTTCATATTGATGCTGAATGCAGATTGTGAGGATTCACACCAGTGTCTGACATTTATAAGATAATGTGTTTGTAAGATTCTTTTAGTGTGCATCTACAGTAGTGTGCAAGCCTGCTGTCTACTTAGGGCAGCTATG